TACCAAAAGGTATATATGGTGGAGCATTGCATCGTCGCGACAAAGAGAGTATCCGATTACTTACTGCACGACATGCCCTTTTACGAGGAACGTGTTTCATTACGCGTATAAATAAAGCACGCACACACACAGTAAAAAATGATTAATTAAACCAACTCAATCTCGGAGCTAAATACGGCCGACTACACGTAACTATCGAGTTGCGTCAAGAAATATTTTAACGCTCCTTTAATATTTTCCCTGCATTTAATAAACATTGAATTTAAATAATGAAACAAATTATCGGACTCTCAAGATTTAAAAATTAATCGATTAAACTAATTACTATAATTAATTCTGCAAAATATTTATAAAGTTATAACTAAATTATTATTGGTAGTACACGAACGTATATAATGAAATGAATCTGCAGTAGAGAATACAGGTTGATTTTAATACAATATTTGAGTGAACCATTCTACAAACAGAAACTCAAGTAATGGTTGATAGCAACAATTTCGGAATAAACTCAATTTTATCCTCGAGTGAAGAAAATTTAACAATTTATTTAATAGAACAACTTATTAAATTTATTTTATCTCGTTATTGTGTAAAATAACTTAATCAATCATAATAAATTTCTATCATATATCGATTAATTAGTAGTCGCCCTGAAAAAAATGATTGTCGTTATAATGTGGTAAGAAGTGTATGAAAATGGCTTAATCATCCTTGTTTTGCACAGGTAAATATCGAATTGGTCGTATCTCTTTTACGCGTAATCTGCTAATAGCTCTGCAAAACGCTCCCACGCTCTAAATCGAAGTGAAGTACTATCAATAATTTATTGAGCTCCTGTTACTCTTTTACATTACATTTAAATTCATTTACTACCAATAATGGTTTAATCAACTTTGTAAATATGCTTATCACTATATTACTTCATCATTGAACTAAATAATTAGTTCAGTGTACTGCTTTTCCATACGATTGATTATTTGATCTTCTATGTAGATGTAGAATTATTAGTATAGTTTTCAATTCAAATCATCCTTTTCGTAATCGGATGAATGTCTAATGTGTGTCAATATATTTAATTACAATTCAGATCGGTCGATTTTTTATTTTGACTAAATTTTTTAGTATTACGTTAAAGTTATTCATGTGACTTAATTGTTATTCTTTTTGACTTGATTCAAGTTTACTGCGCAACTCTGTGAAATTTAGTTCTTTACACCTTGAGTTTTTTTTTAAATAAAATTAACTATTTTATTTTTTATACGTAATTAATATACGTATACGATATAGATGTAAGCATTTCGTGATAACTTTCGATTATATGCGCATTTTTACGCGTAAAAAAGTTTGGAGAAAAGAAAAAAGAACTCATGTAGAATACAGACGTCATGTAATATCAGAAAGACATCATTATAACTGTATTTATAATGGAAAATGTTTGATTGAAAATGGATAAATCAGAAGATATTCTGATTAAATTAATCAGAATTATCCGGTTATCTTAAATAGAATTTTAATAGATTTAACCAGAAATTTTCTTTAACGCGCGAGCGAAATGCAGCTCCAAGTATTGAACTCGAAGTACATTCGAATCGGAGTACGTACCTTTCAGTTTAAACTTTAGTTTTGTTCAGGAAGACATAAAAATTATTCACCATCTGAATACCGATTACGTACACATATTTCGTAGACTTCTCCGTTTTTCACTTTTGATTCCCGTGAGAAACGTTTGACTTTCTGCTCTTATATACTTTTACTTGTAAATTGAAAAGACACAAAGAGGACAAGACAACTAAATCACATATATAGATGATAGAAAAAAACTCAGGGCAGAAAGAATTAAGTTTTAGGATTACGCAATTTTTGTTACGTGAATTGTAATCAAGTAAAAAAATATAAATCAAGTCACATTAATAACTTTGACGTAATAAAAGATTTAGACTCGCACTCAAAGATTTAGACGAAAGTAAAAAATTGACGAAATGAGATGTAATAATTTAAGGTAAATGTAGTCGATGGGTATCAACCAATTGTTGAACAAAGTGATAAAATATTTCAAATATACAGTTTTTAATGATATATTATAACTTTAAATAAACACGTTATTAAATTTTTATAAACAACAAATTCATTTAGAATCATATACATCATTAAAAGCTTAATATTTAAAATTTTGTATTATTTTGTCTAAAACGAATTAAGTTATATCCACTAACTAGTATTTACCTTATATTAGATGTCAACTACCATAAGGGTGATTTAACTGCGTAATATTACCAATAATAATATTACCAATTCTGCATCTACATAGAAGATTCAATTATTCATATAAAAAAATTAATTTGCAATAAAATAGAATGGTTTTAATACTTAATTGAACTACTTTGCAAAATAATAGTAACTTAATAAATAAGTTATGGATAGTAGCAATTTCGGAGAAACACGACTTGGTTTCCAAGTCAAGTAAACTTAATAAATTAAATTAAATAGATTATAATGCAATTTAATATATAATTAAACATCAATTTAAGTTAATTAAACATTTTTATTATGTAAGACAAAGTGTGTGTATATATATATATATATATACCATTTTAAAAGTTTACTCAAATATCTCAGAAACACTGCGTTAAATCGAAAAATGTTTCAGGCAAAAGTTTTACGACTTCGAAAGGGACATAAAATGGTACCATTGGTTTAATCTTGGGTGGCGCTATCAAGGTCAGGGCAAGGTCATTTTGATTTTTTTAAATGGAACCCCTATATTTCATTGCATATTTTTGTAGCTTACCTCGAGAGTTTTTCAAAACGCTATAATAAAATATTTTTTTATTGAATACTTTTGGAGTTACTATAGGCTGGAAAAGTACAGTACCGCCGACATTAGCATTATTATCATCATCTCCCAGACTATGAATCTTGTTTGATTCGCGTGAACCGTGATGAAGAAAAAGTACCTAGTTATTATTTGTAACGCGTCGACTCATTATATTTTTACTCTTTACTTTAACTCGTTACAAGTAATGGGTTACTTTTTTCAATAAACAACGTGTAATGGTGACTTTTTCTGTTGCCAATAAAAATTACTTCTTCCATTATTATTATACTCTCATAAAAAATTACAACTTCATTATCAAATTGTTATTGTATTATAAAAAGTAACGATAAAAATAACAGTGTTACATATATATATATACTCACTTTTGATCCCCGATTGCAATTAATAAATTATATGTAAAATTATAAATTAATTCTACATAAGAATAATTAAAAAAATAAGAACTATGTATTAAAAATGAAAAATAATTTCAAGACAAAATCAAATTTACTTTGAAATTGCTACTATCAACATTTTAAGTTCTCGTTACTTTGTTGAATATATGTGTATATACTTCAGTCGGACATTAACACCATTCTATTCTACTGCAGATTTATTTTATGGTATTCATAAAATTCTTCAGTTGATGATGCAGTTATGCTCGTTTACTATACTAATATAATGATTGAGTAAACCTCATAAGTATTTTACAGAACTAAATTCAATGTTTAATTAGTACAGAAAAGATATTAAGAGAACATTAAAATGTCTCCTGAAACAGTCTCAAACAAGTTTAGTTGGCCATATTTGACTTTGAGATTGAGTTGGTTTAGCCCCATTTTGTGCTGTTCCATCTTATATTTATTTTTTACCGTGTATGTATGTGTATAGTCACACACACAAAGGAAATATTCTTTTTAAAGGAAACGCTCTTTGTATATCACATATACCTATATTTTTTTTTAAAGGACATGCATAAAAGGAATTTTTATTAGTTATTTGCAAAGTTGTCTCGTTCGCTTCATTAACAGAAGTGCCTTTATGGATTGCGCGAATAGCTCTAATAACAATCGAACTACGCTTCGTTCTAAAAATAACAGTAGCTAAAAACATTGCCTTTTCTCTTTTGAATGGTTTGTTCCACATATGAATTCTGTATTCACACACACATCTCTGATGGCAACGAAACTTTTTTTTTTAAAATAGCTCGTTAAAACAGAAAAGTTCTTAGCTCTCGTCGATCTTCTAGAATCTAGAAAACGATAATTGGAAACGTAGAGAAAGAGTGAGAGAGCAAAAATCGCGAGTGTTCTGTTACGACAGAAACGAGCTATTTACAATTCAAGCTGCGTATTATTGAATATTTATATTGACGAACATACAATATATATATATATATACATACAAATGGATTTGCGCTCTTTCCGATCAAATAATGGGAGCAATATGCAAAATAGCGAGGAAGAGATAGCCAGTCGGTGGTCCATAAACCGAGAGACGCGTGCCGACGAGAGGTGATCCTTTTGTAAGGACCGAGAGAATGCGCGCGCCACCGCTGTCGATTGCTTTGACACACGCGATTCCATCGCAGTGCATCCTGTAAAGCCTTGTAAATAGATCCTGTAGGCCTTTAGATGAATTTAGAGGGTAGCGCCAATTAGTCAGTGCTGAGACGAGTTTGCTAGAACAAAACGGGAAACTGATCGAAAGCTAAATGAGATTGCATAGAGATAGTATCTTAAAATCATCAGCGCGAGTCTCTTTTTTTTTTAGTCCGTTTTGCTGCCAGTAGCCGATTGATTAATTGTCATATAATGTGTACGCGATTGCGCTCATTCAACCGTTCAGCCACATTGCTCGCTTGCGAGCAGGCATGTTAACCGCTTTATCGACACTTAGCGTGCTTGACAATAATGTAATTTCACGGTCGGACTGATTTGGCATTTCTTTCCTTCCGGCGTTCCAATTGATCGCGACATCGCGAGATCGAATACATATATTATTGTCGGCCGAGATATGGCATGTGCTTTACAATGACAAAACAAATCGTCAGAAAATAAAAAGGAACGATCTCGCGATGACGATATATGCGGAAACAGATTCGCGGCGGTAGAAATTTGTCGAAAGAATTAAACTGACTAGCGGGACTGACTGAGCCAAAGGGTTGTCTTTCCGGTGTTGCAGGATGCACGCGGTTGGATTGCACTCGGCGCTGGCCATCAAGCGTCAGCGAATGCGCCGGGACGAGCAGCGTCGCGCGCGCGAGCGTCGTTATAGCGCGCAATCGGGTGAAAGTGGCCTGACATCGCCTAGGGCCTCGACCGGATCGCTGGACCACCATGGCAAGCATCACAAGGGCACGCATGGCGGGACGCGCGCGGCCGGCCAGGGTATGCTGGACACGAAGGTGGTCACTTCGATCGGGATGCTGCATATCGGCGTGGTGTTCCTGGTGCTGGGTGCTTTTCTGCTGATGAGCGGCTTGTTGCCGGGCGACCTCGCTCACTGGGGCACCAAGGCGTCTGGCGGCTGGTGGAACGAGCTGGTCGCGGTCGGCCTGTTCGCGATCCTCGTCGGCATCTTCCTGATTATTCTGAATCGCGTGATTGCGAAGAGGGAGGAGGACGATCTCGAGGAATACGTGCAACGGCAGCTCACCAGATCCCGATCAGGGCACCGATTGGAACGAGATGTGGAGACCGGTGGGCTGACCACTCGCCACGCTAGACGGGCAAAACAGATGAAGCAGGTGTCGTCGGACACGTGTCTCGAGATCAAGGACAACGGCAAGGTGAACGGTAGCGGTTCGCCGCCACGGAGCCCGCCACCGGCGTACTCGCCGCAGATCACGATCAACGGCGACAATCAGTCGGTGGTCCAATCGGCACTCTACCTGGAGCAGATTACCGAGGAGGAGATCATCAGCGGTGTCGAGACCTCGACCACCAACAGCCTCAGCCCGAGCTCGCCCAGCGAGACCCGAGAGCTGTTGCAGAACGCGCGATACTCGAAGCAGAATGGAAACCCGCAGCAGGTTCATCGGCCGCTTTACGTTTCCAAGATCTAAAGCGGTAGCGTCGAGAGAGGAAGAAAGGTGCGACACACGACAAGCGTTATAACGCGTCCGCGCGGAAATTACTTTTTATCCATTCTATTATATCGGCGTCTTCCGACTGCAATGTTCTTGGAAGTGAGACTTCACCCTCAACGTACATCTTCCCACATCGACATGGGCAAATCGTACAACGAGTAATGACATTTGTACGAGGAGATGCAACGCTGGAAAGAAAAAAAAGTCAGCGAGAAAGAGCGAAAAGACGTAACGCTGCGAGATAATCAAAAAAAGGTAGACTCAAAACGACGGAACCTCCGCGTGGATTAAGCAGCGACTTTTTTACGCGACGTAACGCGACAATTCTCACATTTATATCGAACCGAAACGCAAGTCGTACCGAGTATTTCTTCCGAGAGGAGAATTTGAAAAACAAAACTTTCGATAATCATACACACATAATCACACGTACACGCTCGATGGACGGACGTAGGAAATCGAAGAATCGAATTCAAGGACCAAGAACACTACCCGTGGAGATTATATCGTATAGAAAGAAGCACAACTCTGCGAAACGACTTTGCTATTAAAACGCATTCTATATAGATATATATATATATATATATACTGGAGAACCACTCGATAAATAACTCGTTGGAAGTAATCGTTTCTATTTAAAAGAAAAAAAAAATCTATTACTATTAGGTGTATAAGCAACAGCGTATATTACGACAATTCTCTATGCATTTTTCACTTGTCCTGCGGAAGTTCTCCTCTTATCCCCGAGTAGTTGTTCTAAACATCGAGTTCTAAACAATTCTAAATTACTCTTGCTCTTCAGACACTGCGAGTCCAAGTATATAGATAACAATTTTAATATATGTTTGTGATTTAGTTTTTTGTGTAAAAATCACTCTATTATACGATTAAGCGTGTACATCCATTTTTGTATGCGGGTGTAATGTATTATTTTTACAGGAAAAACTAATATTACACATATATATGGTATATTAAAGTCACTTTGCCTACTTGGATTTGCAGCGTAAAAATGCGATCATTTCTTTTCTTTTCTATCGTTAATTTAACAAGTTGATCTCATTAAAAGATTATGAAAATTAGTATTTACATTGTTATACCTATTTAATATTATCACTCGTGCGGCATCAAACGTGAAAGAGCTATTTATACGCCGAGGCGTACGACTTGAACCAAAGGCACAAGATGTCTGTAACGTGGAATGGCCGGATGTTTCGACAACATTCACAATGACATTCCAATGTTTGATTTTGATATATTCTAGCGTTAATATTCTCTTCGAACTTCGCAAGTATAATACAATTAATATGTATACAATATATGTTACAGCGAATTCGCGCGAATTCTAGCGTATATATCGAGTAGAATTGCAACTATTCGTCCAGCGACTGTTGGCGCAAGCAGTATTGTTAAGCTAGTTGATAATTTATACTACGCTATATATTCCTTTTTATAATATATTAAGCATTTATTTATACGTAACACATGTACTAGCTTTAATCGGCGAGGTTTCTGGGGGGGGGGGGGGGCGAACGGTGTTGCGCGCGATTCTCTATTATTGTTAGATACATATATGTTATGCGTAAGCGCGCGTGTATGTGTGTGATTCCACTTAAATCGACGAACCTAATTACGTATGGAGAACGCGCGTTTTACCGTTCCTTCCCATGTATCTCTCTTCAAAATGAAATATCGCTATGCTCGGGCGCTACTATTCTGTGATCCTAAGAAAAAAAAAAAAAATTAATTGTCTTACATATCTTATACGACAAATGAATTAATTCTATTGAAAATGTTCTTTCTCGATAGCGGCATCGTGTGCTATACATTATACATATACTGCTATAATATCCACGCACGAATGTCGCGTAATTATACATGCTGTTTTTATCGCTATCTTGGAGCGTTCTAACTATTCTTTAACGCATTGTTCCCATTATATATTCAATTGTAATTGCAATCTTTATGCCTTTTGCAAATTTAAGAATGCAAGAGAGAGAGAGAGAGAGAGGGAGGGAGGAAGGGAGGGAGGGAGGGTGGGAGGGAGAGAGAGAGAGAGAGAGAGAGAGACTGTTAAGGAATAGGTGTGCGGATAGAAAGGCGAAATTCATTGCGATTAAATCGAGGTCGGTCGGCGCAAGTTTTGGAGCAAATCGACAGCTGCATGAGCTGTGCCTCGACAATCTTAAAACAGTTTTTAAAAAAGATTCGATCGCGTAAAATCTCGTTGGGAGGAGCTTTTTTGGCTCAAGGAAGCCTAAAAATGGAAAGCTAGGTAGATCGCCCTCAGATTAAACACTTGATGGCGTCCCGAATCTCAGAATATTTATAGGATTCGACCCTTAAATCGGTTGCACCGTCGTGCAAACTACGATATTCCTTCGGTAATAATCTTACCGAGTACGAATATCCGAGTTTAATTCCTCACCCTTCCCTCCCCTTCTCCCCCTCTCATCTTTCCTTCCCTTTACACCCCTCGTATAAATCTACGTGTGAACGTACATGCGCGCGAGCATACAGATGAATGTTAACCGTGTGGATCGATTAAACCGTTTCCTCGAATCTCTGTGATCGTGAGTGCTCTTTCCGTTTTTTTCGGAAAAGTATAGCTTTTTATTTCAGTCTTTGGATTTACTTCGTTCGTTCATTTCCGCTCGATTAAAAGGCTGAAAAATCGCGAACTAATCTTACTTATACATATACATTTACATTATATATATATATGCATGTATATAATATATATATTATATATATATATATATATATATATACATACAGGGAGGGGCATTTAAAACAGATTACCTGAATAACTCACTTGTTTTTGACAATAGAAGAAAATGTGTCAACTAATTATTTTGCATATAAAAGTATTAAGGTAGAGATACCAAAAAACCAATAGTTTTCGAGATATTTTACACTTTATTTTGATACATATTGACACAAAATGTTAAATAACTCGTAAACTGTTGACTTTTTGATTATCATACCTTAATACTTTTGTGAACAGAATAATGTGATAAATCAAATGGTGTAAAGAAAACACATATAGTTGCGTATTTAAAAAATTATCCATTTTGCATACATATTTTTTTTAAAGTAACTATGTGTTTTCTTTACACCATTTGATTTATCTCATTATTCTGTTCGCAAAAGTATTAAGGTACGATAATCAAAAAGTCAACAGTTTACGAGTTATTTAACATTTTGTGTCAATATGTATCAAAATAAAGTGTAAAATATCTCGAAAACTATTGGTTTTTTGGTATCTCTACCTTAATACTTTTATATGCAAAATAATTAGAGGAATCACGTTATCTAAAAAAAATTACATAATTCCATTTAAAAAAGTGGAGGTGACCTTCATATCACTTCATATCTTTTTAGCGCCTCCACCAAAAAAACAATTATTGACATCACATTATGTGCCCCTCGAAACCAAGCAACTTTTGTTTGACACTTTTTCTTCTATTGTCAAAAACAAGCGAGTTATTCAGGTGACCTGTTTTAAATGCCCCTCCCTGTATATATAAAAGGTGTAAGTCTCCTTCGCAAAACTAAAATCTAAGAATATAATACATCTTCTTAAGATTACATGTATACTTACTGTGCGACTCTCTCGATCTCGTAATTTCGTTGTTTACCGTGATAGATTTACAAAGCACACAATTCCTCTTCGGACGGGACGTGTATATCCGCCGGAAAAACGTGTACTCCAGATACGTCCTCGATAAATCCTCAAATAAGTGGTACAATTGTTACTCTATATATATGCAGTGCCGTGCGTGCACACAAGCGCGCGCACCTATCGGTTGCAAAATTTTTAATATTTGTATGAGCCATATATCGGTTCCGACGCGTAGGGGAGGTCATCTTTGAAGAAGACAAGTCTGCCTATACGTATAGAGTTATCCGTTGTCTCATTTGTTTCGCGCTGCTACTTCAGAATTTTCAGGGTGCAGTCTATTTAACGTTAGATAATGCTTCGAGGCATTTGATTGACCAATCAGAAGAAGAAGTTTTACTAACTGACCAATCAAAGTATACTTCAAAGTGTTTGTAAACCGTGACCTCAGAGAAATGTCCTCCCATTTCTGCGTTAATTTTCAACGATAGGTTCCTCGTTTGATCGAAAAGTCGACTTCTCCTTGATGTTTCCTTCAAAAGTATCGAAGGCTGAAGAGGTAATTTATTACATTTTGCAATTTCTACAGCGTTACGCATCTCTGCATATTTAAATGTTAGTTTAGAATTCTATTAAACTTCCTCCAAGTTCAGCCAAAGAATGTAGAACTTCTTCGTAAAGTGCTATCAATTTAGCTTCCTAAACTTCGGCAAAAGGGAACCTTTTTTTCGATCACTATTTGTAATTTGAAAGTTATCGTTCCGTCATTATTTCCGCTGAGGAAAATGAACCTGAAGAATTAATCGAAGGGGGAAAGTATGGAGAGAAAGAAGAATATACACACTGTGTGATAGAAATATCGATTGAAATGGATTTTAATTACCACATACTTATTGCTGTTGCGTTGATTGATCAGTTTTGCAAAGCGACTTTCTCGATCTACAATAAGTGTCGTAAGCCTTTAATCCTTTGTTTTAAGCTCTAAACTTTACATAATTAAGATCTGTCCAGCTCGCTTAAAGCTTAGGAATTGCGGATTAAAGTAGTGCCGGAAAACATTTTGTGTGTGTGTGCCAGAAGAAATAATTACAGTTTAAAACATAGAGCAAAAGGTTAAAGGAAGGCTGACTAAACTTAAGTAGATTAAGGCTTAAAACGATGATAGGAATCTTCATCTTGCGCACACACGCGTCGTGTACGTTGCGAATATGGTCCTGCCCATTAGTCGTTAGCTATAAACGATAACGAAGAATCGCCGTTTCCCCGAGAGGAGCGTGGATGATTGAAAACGGCGAAGTTCTGACGTTGAAAGTAATGCTGATACATATATGGCACAAACGAAACCGAAATGCTCATTTCGTGAACAAATTTATTGTATCTCGATAAATTTTCATCTCACCGCGCTGCACCTTTGAATTCTTGCCGAAATTTTACACACGATTGAAAAGGTGTAAAAAAAATCGAAAGGCAAAGTGATATTCCATTTTTGTTCATTGACGTTTTTTGACGATAAAACTTAAAACTAGAGCTGCAACGAATAATGATTCGTCGGATAAGTGGATATCAGAACTCATCTGGTAAAGCCGGATAACCGGATTTTATCCGGCAGAAGTGCGTGAAACGGATAATCGGATTTTATCCGGAAATTGCTCAAAGAGCTTAAAATGAAAATCTAATTGTTTCTTTTTACAATAAAAAGAGAATGTTTTTATGTAAATCATTACAAGTATGCTATAAAAATGTAATATTTATATATATGAAATAGAAATAGATCACGTATTGTCTAATAGTGCAGAAGTAGGAAAACCCAGGGCATAAATGGTCACAGTAAAGTTTGAACAAGGTTTTAAGCATATTGAAAATAAATATCAACTTGATTTTATACTAAAATATTCTTTGGAAGTTTGAAGTATCTGCTGTAAGAAAAACACAAGTTTTACCACAAAAGAATAGGTTAACAGAATAAAATTATTATTTTCTCGAAAGCGTGCATTAACTTCGCTATATATATGCCGTTTATGTGGGGTATAATAGGATATCACTTAAAACTTTTCTATTTTCTAAAAATTAACATTGAACGTTACTTAAAGTGACATTGGCGTTAACCTCACTTCTATTACATTCTGTGTCACGTTACATAATAATAACGGCGCGTTCAATGTACATCACGTGTCCCGTATATTAATACATGTCATTATCCGTTCAAGTGCACAAATTTACTTTAACATTTCACAAATCATCAATATTTACATAAATACTTTATTAAAATGAAAGAAAAGGTTGTATATGATATAAATATAGTTGCGGTAGTAAAAAACAGAATTTTATTATTGCTTACCTTATGGAAATGTATCAAAGAAATTGTAACTCAGTTGGGGCAGCACAGCGAACGTATTAAACAGTTTCTAGCAACTATCAGTTAAAAATAATATGACAACTGAAAAATGAATACAATAAGATACATCTAACACTAACTATTGCACAACATTTCATTACATGATAGCATTTTTGTAAAAAATCATTGATTGTACTCCATTATACTCCGCCGTGGTTTTATTATGCCCCAGGTTCCCCTACTCATTTCTTATATAAACAGTATAAAATACTTAAAAAATAATATGCATCAAAAATGTAATACCCAAACAAACAATAAAAAAAGTTTATTTTAATTTAATTCTTGTATTATATTACATTATAAATATATATATATTACATATGTATATTATGCTTGATACAATATACATTCTGGATGAAACACTTAATGTGTGTGATATAATTGCAGATACACCCTGTTAATTAATATTCAAATATAAAAATATTTAATAAAAGAACATGTAGTTTATAGATTGATCATATACATATATATAATCAAATATTTTGAAAATTTAAATTTCAAATATGTATAATTATTTCTATCCACAAATTTATGGAAAATAACTTTTTTCCAATCCGGCTGGATTATAATAAACCGATGGGATATGAGATAATTGCCGGATATCCGTTGCAGTTCTAGTTAAAACGTTGAATTAGCTGAACATGATAGCAGTTGACATGTTTGTGGAACGTAGCGAGAAATGATGGATGATATCTGTTTGGAACGACTTAGAGATATTACTATATTTATCGTGAAATTTACTATGATGTGCGAGGACACATTTATTCGAAGGAGTCAGAATTATAGGGGACATGATACAAGAGGGATTGATATACGCGGCCACCGTTTATATCGTATCCTGTTATCGAAACGATGCTCCATCTTCATCCCCTTGGTTGCGCCCCGAGTAAAAACGTATATTCACGAAAGAAAAAGCCAATATCACGAAGATCGTTGCAAGATAAGAGAACCGTTCTTGTTATTATTACTTACTATTATTAGTATAAATTATAAATTATTACATCGCAGCTATTTTACGATTACTACTGTAGTTATTTTACTTAGAAGTTAAAAGCTTTTCTTATTGCGATTTCTCTATTGTACCACTTATATACAACTTGATGCACGAATTTTTCGAGAATAAATATTTATGAAACGCTCCATTCGTAACGAATATGATTGTTCTTCTACGCTTTCAGAAATTTCCCACTCCATTCTACGAATCGAATTATTATCTATTCATCCTTGTTTTAGATTATCTATTTATTATGAGATTTTATATTCGCTTTGGATTGTGTACATATAATCGGTTACACGTTTAAGTTATCTTGTATACGTTGATGTTCCAAATTGGGACGAGGAAAAAGAATCTAGATCTCTCGGATTAGTTTTGTTAGACAACAACTCGCTGGAGTTTTATTGTCTCGTTAACAGGATAAATCTTGATAAGCACAAAATAGAGTCGTCGAGATGTATCCGACTGTTTTTTTTCTTTTTCTACTCGGAATGGTTTCCTGGAACTTGCTGCATCGACTGCGGGTCAGAGGGCGGATGCAATGACGTATCGACCGGCTCGAGGTCAACCGGGGTCACCAAAGTTCATAACGCGTTTGGTATAAAAGTAAGCCGGTGTCAGTTCATACCGTAGAACGCCGCGCGCCCCTAAAAAGTCTTCGCTCTTGCAATGCTTTTTCTAAAATAAATTATTGAACCGTTTATTATTTTAAGTAAAGAATAATGCTGCTAAACAGGGAGATTCTGAGATATTTTGGCAATTCGCACAAAGCGGTGTTCTCGAAATAGCGCTGAAATTAGGAAATATTTATTGAAATATTTAATGAAAATATTAACTTAATTATTTTTCAAGCACGGTCCGCGTATTTAGAACGTGTTTTTATTGATAAAAGCACGGTACTTTTATCTCTACAATTCTACAGTATGCGTAAATTATAGCATGTTAGAGTGTTAACAGCGTTGTAAGCGCGTTCTAAATACGGGCTCTATTGTTTAAGTTTTGCTGTTTAAGGATGATTCGATTTCAATTTTGAATTTGCTGGTCTCGTTAAAATAATTCTTTTTACGAAGCAGAAGAATGTCTCAAGATGTTCTTATCTTATATTTTTCTACGTATTAATAGATATGATTAAATACCGCAACATGCGGTATTCCATGTCGCGTCAAATTATCTCGAAGGGACGAAGTGCGCAAATATCTTTTTTTAGCTCTTGTGTATACCGTTTACGAGAGAAAGGGATCATAAATAATAACGTACGGTATAAATATAAACGTATTCGCCTGTAATAATTTAATATTGAAAAACCAATATCAGAGTCGATTCGAATAATTAAAACGTTTGTTAATATTTAATAGATATACCGCGCTTGTCAGAGTTAATTCCGGTAAGTCATGTTTACGGAATTCGGCAATGTGATTGCCACAATATTTTCCATCTGACGAATAGTGTATGATATATAAAAGTGCTGGCTTTTTGTTTGATCAGGATGATTGGTGCTATGCCAGCGGTGGCCGTCCGTCATGAGCGCAGGAGGCAAGAGAAAAGGCTGAAGCGGCCAAGTCAGCTTTATTTAGGAGGGCAGTGGTTACCGCCACTTCAAGGTTCGCCGCCCACTCCTAGTCCGCACGGGCACAACAATTTGGAGCCCTTGCCTGAGCTCTACTTATGTGGCAAGGTAACAATTAATTGTAATAATACACCGATTGACGTTAAAGCCAAAGTTCGAGGAACTATGCTTGACACTTAATATATATAATTACAATTTCCTAACTTACAAAATGTACAAGCGCAGAAATGGAGTTGCGAAGAAGTTCATAAAATCAATTTCGTATAGGTTTTTTTTTTTCTACAAGGACATTGAGACTCAATATCTTAGTTTTGCGCTGAAAATGATCAGTTGCTTGCAGTATATATAAAACAATGATAAAGGGCTGATTTAAACTTTATGCATGGAGAGAACTGTTCATTATATTTTACTGTCAAATTCGCTACAAATTTTATCGTGTTAGCGATAAACGTGGTAAGCTATTAAACATTATCGTAATAATAGGATTTTTTGAAATATACAAAAGATTTTTACAAAAAATTTTATAAACTGTATAATAAAAATTATCAAGCAAATTGTAAATTTATTATCTGGACAATGGTTTAACAAACCACTTACTAGTTCACTGAATTTAAAGATACAATAAATTTTAATCATATATATAAATACATAATGGATTTATTTTGAAAAAATTTAAAAATAATAGGTTTTTTTACACAATTTTATATTGTTCAAACTTATAAAAAGTGTACATCTCTTTTAGAAAAAAATAAACTGAAAAACATTAATTTTTATTACAAATGCGACTTGTGATCTCTGCATATTTTTAAAAAATTTGAAAAGTAAGAAGACTATTTTTAATCATAAGAAATAAATGGTTTTAATTAGGCGGCTGAAAAAAAACATTTTGAATTTTTGTAACCGCCTTAATACCATGTATACATATAATATACTTATATATTTGTTGCTCTGAAAGTTTCCGCAAAATCATATACAAACGTATAATTAATTTCTGAAATTGACTTAATTGCGTCTCAAAATACTCTCCGTTACAATAAATACACTTTTTCATTCGATAAAATCAATCGTCGAAGCATTTTGTCCATCTTTCTGAAGGCTTTTTTGTTGGATATGGCTCATCTGGGAACACCTACACACTCGATTGTCGCTTGCTTTCCGGTTCATATAGCAATAAATCCATAATTTGTCATCTGTTACGATGTTATACATTGCTTTGGACAGACCATAATCATATTTTTTGAGCATTTTTTGCACTATTTGATACGCGCTTTTTTTGGGGCCTCCGTTAAATTGTGCGATATCCAACGAGCACACAATTTTCCGATGCCAAGATGTAAGATTGTTTTAATTTGTGTCATACCAATGTCTAGGGATGCTTTTATTTCTCTGTAAGTCGTGCGATGGTCTTTTTGCAATAAGTTACTTACAGCATCGATGTTCTCTGGCATGATCGCCGTGACAAGGACGGCCTTTACGGAATTCGTCACTGACAATTGAGTTCTACTCGACCGCGCTTGAAGTTCACGTACCACTCATAAACAGTTTTTTGAGATGGTGCTTCACCGCCAAATATCGAACGAACATTCTCGACACATTGTAGGGGAATTAGCGGCTTCTAAAAATCGTAGAAAATTATCGCACAAAAATATTCTCGTGATAAATTCATTTTCTTTCGAAAGTGTCAACTTTGAATATGTCTCATGTCTGAACGAATGAATGTTTGTTGATGCGTCAAAGTGTTATTAAAAAATGAAATAAAATTAGCAATCAACGTTGTTGATATGCTAATTTTATTTCATTTTTTAATAACTCCAACCAAAGATCTTATAGCAATAGCGATGTAACATATTTTAATAGAAGTCTGCGCAAGGTTTTGTACATATATACTCTCAAGATTTACCGGACTTTTTTAATTTTATTTAACATTAGTAATGATCGGTGTCGAAACGTTTATATGTAAATAGTCTATTGTTTTATTAAACTAAATTTTAGCTCGTAGCCTTTCTTATTGACATTATTAATTTTGGAGATATTTAAAGTAGAGCGGGTGCTCAGTTTTATGAAAACTTCCATGTAACAAAACTAATGAAAAAATTTTTTAGAGGGACATAAGCTCATACATTATTTAAAATGATATATATATTATATAACAAAAGTTTCAAGCTGTTCAAGAAAATACGAGGTAAATTTTTATCCGATTGTATTTGATTTTCTCAAAAATTATTTATATTATTAAGAAAGTCTATGTATCAGATTGATGTAAAAATCCCTTTCAAAAAAGCCATGAAGCTAGAAATAATTGTTTATATATATATATATATAAACAATTTTAGAAAGTACATATATGTATACTTTCTAAAATTTTAGAGTAAATCTCATCCTTAAAAATTGAAAATTAAGCTACTCTTTTTAAAAACTAGTTCAATATGTTCACTCTTTAAAATAAGATTTCACTATAAACAGTTTATTATATAAATAATAGATATAGAGATATTATATAATAGATAACAACACTACGTTTATAAATTCTTAAATACCCCTTTAAATATAAATTTTTACATATCTCTTTATTTTGACGATATATAATTTGATCTTTTTAAATCAGAAAATATATATAACAAAAATTTTATCACAGATAGATATACTTGTGAAATACAATATCTGGAAAACTTACAATTTTTAAATAAAAATCTCTGAATGACAGATAAAACAAAGTAGCTCTATGAACCATCCACAACTCTGGCAGTGTCGCCAAAGTATTTGAAGAAAAATTTTACTGAATACACTTGAGAAATTAATTTACAATGCCAAAATATGTAAGATATAATAAAAGCAAAAGGAGGATTTTTTATGTGAAAAATTTGTAAGTTTTCTAATCCTTTTAATTTTTATCATAATTTAGTTATTTTATCATTAAGAAAGACCAAATTATAGTTGCATTAAATAAAAGCTCAAAAAATGTATTTTTATTTAATATTTAATAACGTTTGAGAATTTACGAATGGTATAATAGTGTATACTATAATATAATTGCCGAAAATGGCGGCGAGAGCAAGCATATTCGTCGCCTGACGAAGATCGTTGCCCGCAGATATCCGGGCTGCACGCCGTGGTGGTGTGTCTGTTGTTGGGCGCGGTGGTGCTCGTGGTCGGTCTCGTCCAACTCGTCCCGGGTGCAACGACCACCAACCACAGGTTGGCGTTACTCGTGGCAGGCGCTGCCCTACTTATACTGGGTGAGCTTTAGATGGAAAATAGGTGGAAACCCCTACTTTTGCGTCGCGTTCGCTTTTACCTTAATGTTGTATTATACGTCATAAGAAACGTTCTTCCAGAACAAGCAAAAAAACTTTCATTACAATATAGAGGCGTTCCATGTCGTGGATTGATGAATAAATCGAATACTGCGTTCTTTCTAATGATTTTGTCAAGCCGTGAAAATATTCTCAGTTTGTTTCATGCGTTAACTTACCACAGTTGAAAAATGAAGCAATTTCTCAGTTTTACGAACTATTTATTTATTTATGTGCATATAATTGTAGTAATAAATTGATTTAAATTAAGCAGAATATGTTTATTTAGAAAGAAAACCAGGATAGATATGAAGTTTTTCAGCGAATTTTCCGGCCAATTCTAAATTAATTTCTTCAAGAAATTACCCAATCATAGTCGATTATTTTTTTTCATATTCAATTATGATTGACAAATTTTTTAGGGTTTGCGACCCTATTATTGTAGAACAGGCGTAATAGCTGATTGCAAAACGTCAAATAGAGGATTATAAGCGTGCTCAATCGATCGGCGCGCTTGGTGACGCGCGCGTGCTCATCACTACTTGAATCATCTGCAGTTGACGAGACTTCGATGTGTAAAAATGTGCTTCTAATCATGGTTTTAATGTTTCAGGCTTTATTTTGGCGGGTGTGAGATGTTACGTGTTACACTGCGTGCCACTTCCAGTCGAGTCACCGATCGCAACGCCGATTCCGCCAGCAAGCGAGCAGACACCCGCTGTACCTAAGGGCACCCTGGACCTTCTGGTAGGCCATCAAAATCAGCCGGAGATGGACGCTTTGATGCAGCATCGGGAGCATCATCACCACCATCAGCATCACAATTATCATCATCATAACAACCATAAGAAGAAACGCAGTTCTCAGGGTTCACATTCCGAAGAGGCCTAAAATACAAACGAACAAGAAAAGGCGAAGCAGAAAGGGCGGGATGGAATAGGGGGGAAAAAATGATCGAGTTACGGGATCTCGTTTGACGATTCGTGCAAAAGTCGAATCTGCGGCGAAGAGAGTTAGGCTAATTCTACAATGTGCTTTTTGTTTCCTGTTTCTTGCTGTTCGTCTCTGTTTGTCTCTTGCCTTTTTCATCAAGAAGGCAAGGGACAAACAGCGAGAAACAGGAAACAAAAAGCATATTGTAGAATTAGCCTTAATATCGAGCGAGAAACAAAGGAGAATATAAAGAAGAAAAAAACTGAGAAAGTGAATTTCTTCGAAAGGGAGAACAATGCCATTCTTTCATAATATCGCGAAATATATGCGAAATTTCTTAGAATGTGGCGCATCTTCCCGCGATCAATGGTAAAATTACACCGAAAGCCATCCGAAAAAGAAGATGATAATCTACATAACTTTGAGATAGGAGGCAGTACTGGAATAAACAGTTTTTATTTTTATTAAAATCAAATTATTACTGCACGGACGAACGATTTTGTTTGGCCCTTGAAGATGCGCCGACGTCTAAGACATTCTGTGTATATCTTGTACATATACTAGTGTGTATATAGATATGAGAGTACAGAGTGGTTTTCTATCGCATCTAAAAAAAGAGACTCGTGGAATATGTTTCTTCTTGTGAGGGAAACGGAAATAACGTTTTATTTATCAGAGGTAGAGAACACAAAATTTATACTCTATTGAAACGAGATTTCGGCCTTTGACATTTTTTTTCTAACAAAGAAAACTGCTAATCAGATTTTGACGAATTATCGACGAAATCTTAGTTACGTACATTGGTATCTATATACATATAATATACAACAATATAAACTAATTTACGTTGCAAATGTATATGCTGAGGCAAGTGCACTTTTCTACCTGATGTACCGAGGATTCGATATATCTAATGACATTCTTTTGTCACAAGACTTCTAGTAGAGAAATTTTGTAGAGGAGACGTTTAATCTACCGATTAGTACAGAGTAGTCTGTTATTAGTCATGTAACTGGGAAGGAATGACGATTTTTATAATTAAAAACAAAAGAAAAGCTAAAACAAAATTTTAGAGGTTCTTGATAATCTCAATAATACTGATGTTCTTTATTATTTCTAAGCCTGGACAATATTCTATAAAAATTATTTAACCCTATCACAGTATAAATAAAATAATTTAACGGCCTGTTTAAAAATAATAAAAAATAGAAAGAAGAATTTCATTTTGTTAAATAAAATGTATTTATATTTACACTCAAATAGTCGCTACGTTGAATTGATACTTAACTTATAAATAGTCCTGATCAAAAAATGTTAAAAATTATAAAATAAAATATGTTAGAAGTCTTAGAATAATAATCTGAATTCATATATATTTATAAAGAATTTTAGAAAAGATAAATTTTCTAAGCACTTCTGAAAAGTGCTTCAATTCAGAGAAATGTTTCAAACTGTTATATAAAATTATACAGAAATTCTGAACTTTGTATAGAAATTCTAAAAAATTATGTAGAGAATTCTAAGAAAAATTTTCTGGAATATTATTAAATTGACCCGGAGACGCTGATTGATTTTCTAATCTTTCAATCATATTTTCTCCAAAATATGGAAGTTTTATATACGATTTTATTTTTTGTTTTTTTATCTATTTACGTAGAATTACCTCCTTCCGGGTCGTATCACTGATGACGAACCGCTCTATACAAATTGTATATTTGTTTCACACTTGGAATACATATACGGAAAATCGGTGTATGAGAGAATGAAGTATATATCTATATGACTGGTCTTGTACTCGCGTTGCTTTATCTTCGATATTTCTGACGAATAACCTCGTAGAGATAACAAATTTATATAAAATTCGATTTAGAGGAAGGCTAATCGTGAAGACGAGACGACTGATGTAGGAAATGATGTAGAGAGAAGATTGTGATTTATATAGAAAAAGAAACACGTCGATGTCGTTACTTTAATAACTTAGCGATAATGTTTACCCAGCACCCTTCGCGCACCAATTAGCAAAATCCTCGATGTTACTTCTTCCAGAAAAGTCTTAGCAAATCGGGAACGGATGGTCAAACTCGCGACTGTTACCTAACAATGTTCGAATGCGTCACGAAAAATGCGCGACACAGAAAAGACGCGTCTTTTGCATAAACAAAGTACATGTACATTATCTTTTTACACTCGATATATATTTATAACTAAGCGAAACATTAACAAAAGTCTGTGCCTGCGCGCGGAGAAAGCTTTGTTTCATCGTCGAATTGATTAGATTGTTTGTGTTCATTCAGCACTCGGTAAACCCGGACGAATAAATTCATAATGCTGATGTCGATCTAAAAATCAAAGTGTAAATTGAGTGTAAGGGATAAGTGATAGAAGCGTAAAACAAAACTTCTAGAAAGCGTAAATTGGAGTATTAAACGTAAAAGAAACGTTTATCTCTTAACATTTTGTCTGCTAGGTCACCTATACTTGTGTGATGCATAAAATTCGTAAAATTTCTATCATTCTTTTATAAGTAAGGTATTATTTACTTTATTAACTATTAAAAACGATTTTACTAAATATTGAAGAGACGCACACACATTAAAGAAATAATATGATTTATATTAATATATTTAAAAAAAAAAAAGAATATTGTGGTATATATAATATACCGTGTTTATTAAGTTCAATGCCAAAATCAGCTTGACAGTCAGTGTTAAGATACTTCTTTTATGTTCCATTGCTCCAATTTATCCTTTCTAAGAATTATGATTCTGTCCCCCACTAATTTACTCATCAATTTTTATTTTCACCAGAGCTCTTTCTGAAACATACACGGAAAGAACGATTTTGCTGAAATGTCTAAAAATTTAGTTAAGTACTGACCTAAAAGGAATTTCGTTGGACTATTAAATTAATTATATATAGAACACTCAGAAAGTTAAAACTTTTTTTTTGCAGCGTTGCTCATCGTGCTTGAGTGTGTTCTACATAATTATTTTGATAGTTTAATAAAATTATTTCCATGTCAGTATCCAGCAAAATTTTAGATACTTTAGCAAAATCATTTTTTGCATATACAATTATTCATCACGCTGATTTGACGTATGACAGACGCATACCGTAATTAGGAGTTTCGATGTATGTATTATTATAAACGTACGTTTTTTACGAAAATAATTCTCAGCGCGCGGATACAAGTTCGTCTTTTGGGGTCCACTTAAAGTTATCGTGTTGAAATTTAAACGATTATACTAACAATTATGAGAATGTTTTACAAACTGGGGCATGCAATATTAGAACGATTCCCATGTCTGCGCGTAGCGAGATATTGCGGGATCTCGCGATCGCATTTTGCACTTCTTATGTTCTCTCATTCACTTAGTAGCCATTAGTTATTAATATAGAGGAGCACAGGAGAATATCATAAAAAACACACAAACAAAACACACGCATACCTGATACGCATTGTACATTCAGCATATTAGCAGTCAGTTTGTTGCAATAATGCGTTGCAATTTCAGTTGACTATCTCTAGCTGAATGTTAGAGATTTCTTCTTAGATATTCGCATGTACAGCTGTAATATATAGCCAGCGATAGAGAATTTAATTAGCCGTCGTTATGTAGAGCAGTAATTGACGTTGGTGCAATTAGTCCTATAGGGATAAATCCGTAACGGATGTAATACAAATAGTGAAACGAGCGAGTAAAATATAAACTGTGAAAGTTTATAGTAATCATTTGAGGTAATTCACACATAAGGCGTAAGCCACGTAACGCTAGCTTCTGTAACGATCTGATCCACAACACATTTTATCCACCGTAAAATAATAAGATAACTGTACCTGACATGGTTTACTGAAATTAAGAAGGTTTTCATAACTTTTCAAAATAGATTTTATTTCACCGAGAGAAGAAATGGTAGATAAGGCGAAATAAGAATTTTTAACAATTTCTATATAAGGGTAAAGTATACGTTTACGTACACACAGTTTATAGATAGATTCGACATGTTGATTACCTGTACTTAAATTTAACCGTAAATTTTTATTAATTATTACAAGAGACTTTATTGTTATACATATAATAACTCTGAAATCGAGTAGTCACTTATTATCGAAAGAGATTTTCGCGGAGTCGGATATAAAAATAATTAACTAATACTATTATATTCTAAATCGATAATAGCTACTAAATTCATATAATAATAATAATAATAATAATACGTAACTATTAAAAAATGGAAGGAAGAAATCATTATGTATATTGATGTTTGGAATATATGTGTGTAAGTATAAAGGTTCAGTTATTTTATTATAAATTATGTACACATAAACATACACACATATACATGCAATTTTTCCTGATCAGCACACTGCCTAATTTATACACGATATTCACGAGATCGCTATAATTATTCTCTATGCTCGAAAATCTGCTTGCGTTATACGCGAAGCAACGTTGGTGTACTCCAAAATAGAATTTTGCATGACACGTGGTACACACGTTACTAATGCATCTTTCTATTTGTTTGTTTGAAGAAACGGGATGTATAGAAAGGGAAAGATATCCTCCGCTAGCAATTTAAGCATTGCAATTACTAATTATAAGCCATTATTTAATACATTTTCACGCATTATTCATCACACCATCGTACATTAAATATTGTTTTCTTTTTTCTTTCTTATATGTACATAAATAAATTAGTGCGTGTGTGTGTAATATATGTCCCTTGTTAGACGAAATACTTAAGAACGTTAGCGTGTACATAACGCTTCGTGCAAATAACTGGCGATAACGTATCTCGAAAATAGCTGTATATTTAGAGCGCGTAGAACAGGTTCATATATTCATTTAAGAAGTTTTCTCATCACACATAAATATATACAATACACACACACACACACACACACACACACACACACATGGTATATGTATGTATATTAAGGTGGTCCATTCCTACTCTTGAAGAAAAATGTTTTTCTTTAATTTTTTCCGCAACACATTTTTTCAGAACAAGTATTTCTAATCTACAAAAGAATAATTCTCGACAGATTTCAACTTGATCAGACCAATTTAATCAACAAATTCATGTCAACTCGTTAAACATTTGAATTTTTCCCGAAGTTTTTCCTTATAATA